CATATATATTCAACAGAATACTTAATTGAGGAAAAATTTCAAAAGTATCAGAAAGTTTTTATCTTTTATTCAGGGAATAGATTTTAAGGCAGGGTTTTACATGCAAATAACAACTACTGAACCCAGAAAGTATTTCTGTTCTATTTTTTAAACTCAACAGAATAAACAAAAATAGACCTCCATTTAACTGCAAGATGTACTTCAGAGAAAATGTTAATTTACCAGATTATATCTAATTGATGTCTGTAAGTCCTAACTTTGCACTTGAAAATTTGAGTATACCTACAATGCACTGCCCACCCCTGTGGGTCTAAATTACACAGGCATGTGAACCATTCTGTGGTACATGAGATTTCCCAATGGTCCAAAATGCAAACTACAGCCTTCTAGGCATTATGTACCGGCTAACACTATTGATCCTCATGACAATCTATTATAAGCCCTATAACTCTGATTACTACATATGGAGAAACCGAGTCACAGAGAAGTAACTTGTCCAAGATCACACCACTAGTGGAAAAAAAAAAAAACAAAGAACAGCAAGATACCAAATCCAAGCGCTCTGACTCTTCAGCACTTACCCACTACCCTTCACTGCCTACCATCTATAAAGCCCATTCATTGGCAGAGAGAAAACACCACAAAGTCACAGACCGACTATTTATTGAGCACCTGCTTTAAGCCAGGCACCAGGCACTGGACATAAAAGAATTAAAAAAAAGCCCGAGTCTGAGCTGAAGGAGACTTTGTTTTTTTTAAAGCAGATTCAGATAAGTTGAAAGCAAAGTAACTAGTTACAACAAAATGTGTTCATGCTCTGGCTAGCCGACCATTCTGCCTGTTGGGGAACACAATACAAAGTACAACTAACTTTTAAAAAAACAAAAACAAAAACAATACCATCCTTAGAAATACAATCCAGTTTTTTTGGTTTTTGTTTGTTTGTTTTTTTAATCATTGTAATACATTCATCTGGAACAGGAGCATAGAAAACATAAACCTTTCCTTGATGGTTTCTGGTCATCTCTGGGGTGCCCAAGAGCACGGCAATAATGCCAGAAAGACATGGACTGGCTGCCTTCTGTACTTGCCCGACCTGGGATGGAACCCACAACCTGGGCACGTGCCCTGACCGGAAATCGAACCTAACCACCACCTTTTGGTGTGTGGGATGATGCTCCAACCAACTGAGCCACACTGGCCAGGGCTGCTCACTCCTACTTTAAAAAAAATATAAACTTACATCTTTCTCCCAGATCTCATTGCACAAGGCTATTGCCTATCTCTAGCAGTTACACCCTCTCCTAATCTGAAATGATACAGAAGAGAGTTAATCAGTAATCATGCTCTAAGTTTAAACTGTCCAGGAAGGTCTCTTCTCCAGAATAAAGTACTCAGATTTATGACAGTTCACCCATTTTCTGTGATGTTCATTTAACTACAGGAAAAGGAGGTGGCTAACTATAAAAACAAATTTTGTGAATTTTAAAAATTCTATCCATGATAAACCTGGGAAGAGAAAGAGATCAAATATCTTACTTCTAACAGAGACAGTGACGATAGTAACAGCCAATCTTTAATGAGCAGTACCTACTATGTGCCAAGTGTATAGCTCATTCTAATCTCCAGTATATAAATAAGAAAAATGAGGCCCAAGTTCACATAAAAAGTTACAGGACTAGAATTTGAATCGCATGCTCAAGGGGAAAAAAAACAACCTTAAATGTCTTCGTGGCCAGGCAGGTAAAGTAACCGTGTGAAATGGCTCCGTTTTAAGACTGTGGAGCTGTGGTTCTCAACTTGGCAGCACATTGTAATAACCTGAGGAGACTGCCCGGTGAGTTCCACCCCCACAGACTGCGATTCCATTGGTCTGGGAGCTGCCAGTCAGCTGCCAGGTAATTGTAACAGCCAGTCAAAGCTGAAAATCACTCTGTGTACACAGACAATGGTGCATGGCCCACTTCAAAGGAGTTTAAAAATGTTTAAAAGGTTAAGGAAACACTGTGTGCTGGTCAAAGGTTGTTAGTACTGCCTCACCCAAAGGTTGTTAGTATGTAACCTCTGCCCCACTCCTCGGCATAATTAAGGTACAGTATGGATGACAGATAGTTCAGTAAATAGATAGGCTGGCAGACATAAATATTTATTTCTTTTTAGTGGGAGGAGGGATGCCTAGTCTTGGAACTCTCCCCATCACCCCCACCATCTCCTATTTACCGAACTGTTTTACTACAAAATGCACTAAGTGTCAGAGGTAACCTACTTTCAAAATAAGCTCTGGAGTACAACCCATTCTTAAACTGAAGACAACCTAAATATGCTCACTTCACAAATGTATACCTTCAGATTATAGGGCCAAACTATGTAAACATTTTAAGAGTCATTTTTTTTTAAAGGACACTCCAAGACAGGTCAAGAGATCTCGCGAAACTAAACAAGTCTCAAGACTAGAAAGTTTAATGCCCTAAAAACAAATGCAGGTATTACTATGCCAAGTAAAATATCTTTTGTCATTGGAAAAGAAAGCAAACCTGCATATCATCAGAAAATCTTCTTTAAGTGGCCTGCAGATCTGAAATCTAAAATAAATGCTTAGGAAGTCAATCGGGAGTCCTTTTAAAAAAGAAGAAACTGGCCCGACCAGTGTGGCTCAGTGGCTGAGCATCAACCTGTGCACCAAGAGGTCATCAGCCTGACTCTTGGTCAGGGCACATGCCCAGGTTGTGGGCCCAATTCCCAGTGGGGGGCATGCAGGAGGCAGCCATTCAGTGTTCTCTCTCATTGATGTTTCTCTCTCTCTCTCTCTCTCTCAAATCAATAAAGAAAAATAAAATAAATAAATAAATAAATAAATGAAAAAGAAGAAACTGTAGCCTGCTTGGGAAGCCATTCTTCAAGCTTAATCATGTAACTGCTGCTGCACCACAACTCAAGAGGAAATGGCAAAAGAGTACATTAAGAAATGGACTGTAAGGCAACTCATTCAAACTAGCTACAGTTTTTCTTCTGCTGCCAAGTAAATGTTGTGTATGTTAATGGTCTTGTGTTTCCACCTACGACCACTCTCCCCACTACCACCAAAAGAAGGCAAATAAATGAAATTGAGATTGATTTTCAAAACGGAATACTGCAAATAAAGGCCTTGTCTCAGAAATCAGGGTCTTGATCAGTGAGTTTTAGCACTGGCAGTTGAGGCAAATGCACTAGTTGGGCAAATTATGTCCTCGTTACTTGTTTGGTGTTTCACAAAGCACAGTCAGGGAAGTGAAGCCTGAGAAAGCAGACAAAAGTGCATGGGATTAAATTTCTCACCATGGTTTAGGATAATTTTATTTGTTGATTGAGTAAATACATATTGATTCCCTCTGGAATGCAGTGCTGAGGCTGTGCTGGTGAACATGACAGCACCTGTTCTCATGGGTCTCCTGAAGTAAGAGACCAAGGCACCAACCTCACAGAATTCACCATACATGCCCGTTCCAGCCATGAGTGTGAATATCCAGCCAGGCTATTGTACTATTACACAGCAAATTTTTCCCTTGGTCTAACTGCACCAAACTTCACAGGGAAGCCTCTGATATCATCTAAATAAATAAGTAAATAAATATATATCCATACTTTGAATAACAACAGTGTAAGTCATGGGTAAATGTCCACAAACATTTTTAAGTTAAGACTGTACCAAAACAGGTTTTCCTTTTGAACTAAGCCCAGCTCACGTATTTTCACTGCCTGTGGCTATGTAGCTTCAGTAAGCTAAAAATAAGTTCCTTTCTGCTAAGTTGGGAAGAGCAAATAAGACCAAGTAATCAGCTGTGTGTCATTTTCTGTCATCTTATATATATTTTTTTACTAGAAAACACTCAAAATAGCTGAAGCCACAAAAAAAGCATCTGTTTTATATTTGTGTACATACACACTGACAGATACATCTACTCAGCTTGTACCCTCCTAGTAATATGAAATAAGCTATATTTGCACTATCAGCAAAGACTGTCGACATTTCACCACTCACAGCTTATTATTAATTTTTTCGGTTGGAAAGAGGGCTGCATAAGTGTTGAAAACTAAACCTCGAGTACAAGTAAAAACTTTCAACATATATGTACAGAATGAGTATGCTCTTAACAAGTCAACATGTTGCTTACTTTGAAGTCATGTATCATTTGTTTCTGAAATGTACATTAAATGAAATTTGAAAACAGAAAGACAGGAACTTGAAGTCTTTCTGCAGGTCTTGTTCAAGTTGTGTTTTCTATGCCTGACAAAATGAAAAACTGTCTTTCTCTTCTTGAACTTCTCAAGGAAAACTGTAAAAACACACACACACCCTCTCTTGGTGATAAACTAAATGGTACTAAGGAAAACAAAGAAACTTTTTTCCCCAAAAAGCATACCTGCAAACATACCTGCAGGATGGGAAACAGTAGTAGCATGGACTTTTCCAACACATCCAACATCTCTAAAGTCACCCTACTAAGTTAACAGAAACTAGCAGGTAGAGGTCCCACTGGACTAGGCCATTAGTTTGGACTGCTGGGTCATGGCTTAATTCCCTTCGGAAAAAACCGGTTTGAGAAATCGCTCCAAACTCCCCATTTCTTAAGCTACAAAGTCCAATAAAAAGCAAATACCAGGAAACCCTGCCCCTTTAGGATGGACTGCCCCTCTAGAAGCGGAGCGAGGTCCCTGCCCAGACTGGGCCTTGACAAGTGCTGGAGTACAGGACCCGGTGTGCACCCACCCGCCCAACGCCCAGTGGGACCAGGGGCTGGTGCTACTCATTTCAAAGGTAACCGCCTTTGGAACCAGGAGGATGGGGATGTCATCTCCCCTGACAATCGGGGGCTCGGCGACCCTGCAGATCTTGCCTCTGATGTCCCTGAAGGTCAGAGGTGGCACCCGCAGTGCTAACTGGTCACCAAAGCCACTTCTCCAGCGGGGCAGAGGCGCGGGGCAAAGTTGGCCCTTGGCTGCGTGCGTCCCGTTAACCATACCTTGTAACTGGGCGGAAAGGGACTCCTGGTGCTGCTGGTACTTGAGCGCCACCGCCTCGGCTTTCCGCAGCTGCGTCTGCAGCTCATAGTAGAGCATCGCGCCGTAGAGAAAGCCGAAGACCACGGTCAGCAGGAGCAGCGTCTGGAAGATCCGCTTCTGCTTTCGGGAGCACATCCCGTTTCCCATAGTCCCCGCCGGACCGCGCGCCGCGGCCGTCCCCGCCGCCGCCGTCCCCTCCTCGCCTCGGCCCGAGCGAGCCCTCAGCAGCGGCCGCCGCAGGAGGTGGCCGGACGCAGCATAGGGAGGAGACGCGAGACACAAAAGCGGGGCCGAGGGGGAAGTGGCGCCTGCTCAGCCCCCACGCGCCGCGGGGCGCGCAGCCATCGACGCCGCCCGGGCAGCCGCCAAACTTTTGCGAGGCAGGCTCTCCGCGAGTGCCGGGGCCCGGGAGGGGGCCCTCCGCATACTTCTGAGCGGGATGTCCTCCGCCGATCCGCCTGCCTTTTTCCGCCTCCCCACTTTTTGGCCCGGCTGCCCCCGGCGGCACTCGGAGTCCCGCCCTGGCCGCTCCCCGCCCCCTCGCGGCGGTTCCCACTGCGCGACTTTGTTGCCACCAAAAGGAGGGGGTGCGCGCCCAACAAAGGGACCCGGGCTCCAGGCGGCGCCTCCGCGTGCGGCCCGCGGGGGTGTGGGTGACTCGTGGGGGCTGGGTGCTCGCCCGGGTTTGGGGGATGGCGGGCGGCTGTCACTGTCGGGTTTGTGGAGCCTCGGCCGCCACCGCCTCCCACCCAACTTACGTGTCACCCACGGCCCCGCTATTCTGGCCAACGGGATTCCCGGAGGAAGTCCCACTCGGGCTCCCCGCTCATTGGGCCCGTGCGAGCTGCACCTCCCTCCCTTCGGGGAGGCAGTGCCGGGCTCGATTGGACGCCCGCTTTGTCCGTCCGACCCCAGCCGCGCCTTCCCTCGCTGCGGGGCCGGCGAGGGGCTCGTGGGCAGTGCGGCCGCCTGGCGCCGGGGTGCGCCCACGTGGAGTGCGGGGAGAGGAGGCGCAGAGCTGGGGCGGGGTGATGGGTGCGCCGAGAACTCGTCCCAGTCTGCAGCCGGGCGAGGTACGGTGCGCACGTGTGTGAGTGTGCATGTGAGTGAGTGTGTGACCCAGCACTCCGAGCGCACTTGGGGAGAGGAGTACGTTGTATACAAATGGAAGAGGGTGGAGGAAGCAACTACATTCCACCGAGTGCCCTTTCTTTCTTTCCCTATCCAGTGGACAGATGCGATAGGCACAGGGGATAGCCACACTGTCAGCACAGTCTTAGTAGTGGAACTGAAGATGCCATGCCAACTGAGTCTTGCCCCATCCAGTGTATGAGTGTCGATGCGTGTGTGCCCACAGATAGCAGGGCATGAGTCTGGAGACTCGAGCTCTCTAGCACACTAGACTTACTGCTCAGCTATCCACGTGGGTTGGGGAAATCAGCTTGCTTTTGGCAGAGGGGAAAGAAATGATCTCATATATTTTCCCCTGGCTGCAAATAGAATAATTTAAAAACAAATCTTACAGGCTGAAATGAGTATGCATTCATTTTGTCATGTGTATTTGTTTTATTGGTGGCAAAAAAAAAAAAAATCAGTTACACTGTTAAATTACATTTTAAAGGCCAACAAAGGTTCTCCCTGTAAAAACAAGTAAAACAAACGTAATAAACACAAACCTCTTCAAAGGAAATTCATAGTGCATTTGTTCTTTCTTTGTACTTGAGAGGGGAAAATTGAGGTTATGCATAAATAATTTTGTTTCTGCTCTTGGCCTGAATTCTAAGAAAATAAATTATTTCTCAAATGCCTCAGTAGTGTCGTGGCATTTATTACATACTGCATAATTTTAATGATATTCTAACCGGATTTTAGTCATCACTATCAATAATGGCCAGCGAGTGCTCAGACTGAGGGTAGATCTGTTTAGCCAAATACAACATACAGACAGTCCTTGATGCAGAATTTTTTAGGTTGGCTCTGAAGTTAGAGGATGCTAGAAACCATAAAATAAATTGAATTTACAGCCTTGCTAGACTGTGACATAAATTTAAACTACCAAGAAAACTAAGTGTGCTTGGCATGTGCTTTTCCCTAATAAATAACTTACAGCATATTGTTCAAAATGCTTTCATGTACAAATACACTCACTTGTCATAGCCACATTAAGTACAGATGTTCCTCAGTTTATGATGGGATTATGTCCTGATAATATCCTAATAAACTGAAAATATCCTAAGTCAAAAATATATTTAATACACCTAACTTACAGAACATCATTGACTAGCCTAGCCTAACTTAGATGTGCTCAGAACACTTAGACTAGCCTAAACATATCAGATAAATTGGGCAAACTTATCTAACACAAAGCCTATTTTATTTTATTTTATTATTTTTTTAATTTGTTTTTCTTTATTGATTTTAGAGAGAGAGGAAAGCAGAGGGACAGAGATAGAAACATCGATGAGCGAGAACATTGATTTGCCACCTCCTGCATGTCCCCCTTTCGGGAGTTGGCCCACACCCTGGGCATGGCGACCTCTTGGTGCATGGGTTGACACTCAGCCGCTGTGCCACACCAGCCGGGCCACAAACTCTATTTTATAATAAACTTCGAATATCTCATGTAATTTATTATGCACATGGTTTTTACATTATCATAAAATCAAAAAATCCTAAGTCAAAAAATTTTAAGTTGAGGGCCCTTGTAAGTCAGGAACCATGTGTATAAAGACTCACATTTTGGCAAATAAAGAAACCAAAGTTTATCAAAGTGACTGATAGCTCTAGAACCTTCTCGTGTACAAAATTAGGAACTCATAGGATTAGAACCCAGGTCAGGATCCTGTCCTTTCCATCTCTTTCTCTTGCAGAATCCAGGTTCTCAATCTTTTTATTTTCTATTTATTTATTTTTTGGGTACATGCCCCCAGTGGCAACTGAACCCAGGACTCTCTGGTCCACAGGCCGACGCTCCAACCACTGAGCCAAACTGGCCAGGGCCAGGTTCTTCTTTTTAAACAAGTTATATTAACAACTTCCATTATAATGAAAACCAAATTTAAAAATAAAAAAAATCTAAAGAAGTTGTGTTCTTCCTTGTAAATATTAATGGACTTTTTATTGGTGGGGTGCTCTCTGTGTATCTACCTGTTGCTGGTGGAAGTGGGCTTCTTGGGGTACCGTTGGAATGAGATTTTCCTGAAGCCCTCATGAAAGGATGAGGTATTGTGGAAAGCTTTATTTCTGTGGAATTAAACCCCTGAGTATCCTAAGTCCCATCTCCCTCCATTCCCTCATGGAAAAAGTCCCATTTTGTCTTCAGCAGGGCTAAGATGAAAGCCATTGCCCAGTTTTCACTCCATATTTGCACAAGGTTAGCTTGTGTTCCCAGCTGCAGTCCATTGCATGTGGGGTCTGCATGGCCATGGACCATGTGGCTTCTAGGGGCACATGACAGGCTAGCACAGGTCATGGAACAAGGGAGTACAAGCAAGCAGGAGCAGAGCAAAAGGAGAGAGAGAGAGAGAAGAGAGAGAGCGAGAGAGCATTCCCTTGTCTGTGGATTATATATTCCCAAATTTTTGCAGGCTTGCATTGGGATCCACCCTCCTAACCAATGATCTTTGTTCCCGGGTTACACTAAGCGCCTTCCCTGTGTCACCCCAACTTCACTGTGCATGTATCCATCTTCCCCTTTGTTGGACCCCTTCCCCCAGTGATTTGCAGGGAATGGACTGTTGGTTCCCTGGAGAGTGTGAAACTGCAGCTTCCTGGTGACACTACCCAGATGACCATGTTTATAATGCCTGGCTTTCCCTTTGCTTTCTTCCTATTATTAATATTAGCTAGCTAGTTACAATGGTAACAGCCTCATTTGTTATTGAATCTACTGCTTTAAATTTCCCTCTTTCAGTTTGACTCTTAGATTGGATAATTCCTATGACCTTGTTAAATTTCTCATAACTAAAAATTCCTTGCTGTTGCAGTGTACAATTTGCTAAACAAACTCTTCCTGCAAAAATATCCCCTAACACTACTCTGGAGGAAATAAAGTTTTATAGCTACAATCCTGGACCATACTTACATAGAAAATTACCCTAATCATAAAAGAAGAAGAAACTGTACAGAAGGTTGGGAAATTATTTCTCATATATTATAGAGTATGCAGTATTTAGTTGTATTTCAGAACCTTTGGACAATTCTTATGTTTCCGGAGCACATGATTACTCATTTTAAATCTCTGATTTCTTTGCATCTGATTCCAGACTCCAAAGGTATTCTTTGCCTAAAGCTGCTGACTGACTGTACAGAAAATAATAAATGTAGGCCATAAAACACAACTCAATATTTTAGTCATAAAATTTGAAAGAGAACAAAAATTATTACCTGAACTTATCCGTTATTTCAAATTCAAGAAGGGTATGTAGAAGTACATAAAATCACTAATGGCAGTGTCTTTATAATATTACTTTTCCAAGGTGAAGTATGCTGCTAGTTTCTTAAAAATATCAGCATAGAGCTTTTGGGAAGCCAGCATTGGGGAAGCTATCCAGGGCCTATAAATTGAATTTACATAACATTGCCTTTGGGTAAGCTTGTAATAGATGAGCTAGTTACACTGGTCGCTAGGTCTGTTGTTCGTTCTATTTTATTTTTGTTTCTTTATCTTTTCAATAATAGTATCATGTAATTGTATTTCTAATGCTTATATTTAACAATACATATAACTTAAAATTTTAAGTCCTAAGGAATATCACCAATTTAATGTTTTATTCCTAAGGCAGGCAGAAATGAAAGAGATTCAAGGTCTTACATTTGAGAAGGGCTAAGGTAACATTAGGGAACCTCAGCATTCTCTTCAGTTTTAGTACATTTGTCATTCAGTAAAATTTGTGTATTTTCAAAATAGAGGAAAGCAAGAAAAATATAGTTGAGGGATACAGCCAGTACTTAATTTGTAAGGTGATTTTAAATTAATAATGTTCAAGATCCTAGAGTAAATAATTTCCAGTTTCTGAAATTTCTCATTTTACTCTTTACTACAAATTAAATTCAATATATATAAATATATATATATATTTATATATATATAAATTTGTAAGAGAAATAAGTGAGCACCTATGAAAACATGATGGATGTTAAGTAGACTTATCGTGGTGATCATTTGGCAATAAATACATATATTTAATCATTATGTTGTACACTTGAAACCAATACAATGTTAAACATCAATTATATCTCAATAAAAAGTAAATCAATAACATTTTAAATGGCGTTTTAGCATTAACAGACTAGTTTTAACCTTTTCATGTGAAAATTGCTAAAATCAACTCCCTTTTTCTTTTCAGGAAACATCACTCTCTATCTCTGCCTTTTTGCCACGTCTCCATTTGCAATGACTTCCTACACACGCAGGCTTCTGGCCACCTTTACCTGACCTATTTTGAGGAGTAAAGAAAGCTACATTCAGAGTAGCTTTTTGGATTCTCTTTTTCAGGATTCTGTGAAAGATGTCTTGAAAGTCCTTTTTCTCAAGATTTTGCTGATGATCTGGTGGTAATCTTTAGCAGATTAACAAAGTAAAAAGGCCTTTGGCTGAATGAATAACAAGTAATTGAAGCCCATTCTATGCATCTTGGTACCTTTGGTCTGCCGCTAACCTGTCATGTTTGTAACTCTGAACTATTTAAGGAGTTAGAGAGTAAAGGGGAAAGTAGATGTCTAGCCTTTATTTGTAAAATGATTTTCAATAAGAAAAATCTTACCATCAGC